TCATCTTTGACCTTGCCAGTATGCTTAAAATAGCAAGACAGAGACATCAGCTTGACCGAGAACATGACTTGTTAACCTACACGAGAGCACATTTATTAGTAACTAGTAAGGCATTGTTAGCCACGCCCTCAATTAATATTTATTTTTGGGGGGTTTAATTTTTTGTGATGCAAACAGTGATCACGAAAATACGGAAATTTATTCCTCACAAAATTTTTTGGCTATACGGTAATTATTAATGATTACCATATCCATCCAATAGTATATTTTCTGGTTTTTTGTCACGATGAGCTACTCCTCGTGAATGAAGATACTCCTACACACAATCAGAAACCAATCACCTGACTATCATGTGACTGTAACATACCAATCCTTGAAGAAGTTGGAGGAAAAAATGCTGAGCTAAGCCTGGCTCCATACCATGATGAGGCTCTGAGGGAGAGAGTGAGAGAGAGAGAGAGAGATGGGAGAGAGATATGCAACGTATAGGAAGAGACAAGAGAGATTAAATTATTACAGAGAAAGCAAATTACCAATCCTATCAAAGAGTTCTCCTCCATCCACATATTCTAAGAAGAGGTAGTGTATCTTACCACAGGCTCTCTCCCCAAAGAACCTCACTACATTATCATGTCTCAGCATCTTCATTATACATATCTGCATCAAGGTTTAGGTCAAATATATTAGATCAAGTACATTGTCATTGTGTTAAATATTAATCTATCACAGTTGCATTATAATTTCTTTGATTCAAAGAGCTAGCCTCAAACTTCAAGTACATGTACTGACAATCAGGCTACAGAAAAATTCCAATCTGATATCAGGTAATTTTAAGATTATCTACACACACTGTACAGTATATATTCACCGTACATTTCAGCTGATTACTGACAATAAAAGGCAGGTTTACAATAATTACAATAGGCTTGACGTTATGTTGACACTAGAATAGGATTTGATTTTATTCTAGCAGAAACATGCATCAAAAGGTCAAAACCCCATGCTTTTTATGTTAAAAAATTGACAGTATGCTATTGTAAACCACCTTAAGTGAGGTACATGTAAATTTCATATAATTATTAAAAATAAATTTACAATACAATAACAACCATGCCCTAAATTAACACCTCTAAGCTAATCATAAATAATAAAGTGAATGGTTAGGTACCTACTTCTTTTTTAAGGCAGTCAAGAGTCAACGCGTTATCTCCATCCAAGTGCATTATTTTAACAGCCACACATTTACAGCCAGCTTAACTCTAAGAAGATAATTCCAGTAAGGTTCTTCTTTCATGTCTCTTACTCTCCATACGCTCCCTCTCCTAATGTCTGCATAAATTCCCACCCTTCCACGAATAGCCTTTCCGCATAGATATTAGAGTACAGATATACTCTATTATAATATACTCTATTATCTATGCTTTCCGAGGGAGACAAGATAGCAACTCCCTTCTTCTCGTCGGCCATGTTTGTTAGTTACCCCATGCCATGCGCATAAATCTGATCTAGATACGGGACCAGGGAAATTTTGGTTTTTCTCCCGAAATTTTGGCTTTTTTCCCCCGAAATTTTGATGTGTTATTTTTATTTTTGTAAGTTTAGGCAGTCAGTAGCTCATTTATAAAATCACTGATGACTTTTTGGCATTTCTTGAGTAATATAAACAATGAATTAAGCACGAGAGGTTTTAATTATACTTTTACCGCGGGTATAATAGAGCTAGTGTATTATTAACATGGACAGCTCCTTATACACTGGATAACGTACATTAGTGAACATTATATACTCCTAATAATAATACTAACATTACATTATCAGCTACATCCTTGTATATTGAATAATGTTATTAGATTTTCCTATTAATGATGTTGGAATAGGTTCCTTTAATAGTATTAGTTTTGTTATGAAACAGGTTAGTATTATTGTGGCATGTATAATTGTATTCACAGAGTAATTTTCAGTTCCACTTATCACTTCCAATGTCATGTTGTATGCAGTAATTGATAGTGATGCACTCATACCAACACAAATATTGATATAGGCCAATTTTTATTAAAATTGGTTGATATATAAACTGTTAATAAAGTCATGCTCATAAAAAACAGTTTTGAGTACAGAAAAAGCAGAGATACTACTGATTTTAAAAGGAACCTATCAACTTTTGGCTATAAATATTAATGTCACTAATCAATGATTGTTGTTAAGGATAACTTTATTCTTAAAAACATTTTTATAAAAATATTGGTATTAGCCATGTTAATGCAACTTGCACAAAAATAATAATTGGGTAGTTAATATTGGTTTTGAAAAAATGTGTTTCAGTACATCACTTGATCATCAAATTGTACTAAATGACAGTAAATGCCAGTATTAAAGTAAGTAATTGTTTACATGATAACATCATCTCTTAATTAGATCAGGAGGAGAATTCTTGATTAATAATTATACCATAGGCTGAATACTGATAATGCATTAATTAACAATATCAGTTTAATACCACAATCATTGAGTGTTAATGGAAGATACTTTTTATATATCGACACCTTTTTGATTTGGTAAAGATTTTTCACTACTTGTATTTATTTAGGCTTTCTTGGACCAGTTACTAAAGGCATTAATTTACAGCTGTTCTACTATTAGCATCGCATGGACTCCATGCTCCTGCAGTTGATGATAAAGAATCTATATGTTAACAAAAGTCCAGTAACAATTATCAGTTTGTGAATGAGGATTTATTTAGTTCAGTGTTATAAATATGTTATACTGGAGTTAAATCAGTTAGCTACATTCTCATATTAAAAAGGTAAAAAGGTTTTTATAAGTTTATTTAG